AAATATGCCAAGATTACCTGAGAATAGAGTTGTCTTTCCCTCCCATCCACTGTCCAACTTTCCTGTCACCTGCCCTTTTCTCCTCCCCACTCCTAGAAAAAAATGCAGGGAAAAAGGCCTTTGTAATGGTATCAGCATGATGAAGCATCTGCTTGGGTTTAGGTTCACATTCTCCTACAGATTTGGATGTTGGATTTCACTGAGAGGAACCAGTACCAAAAAATTTGTGATGACCAGCACTTCACCCAGGATTTGCCATCCAGATCTTCAGGGGAAAGGCTTTTATTCTCCTTCTGTGGGATTCCTGGCTCTTTATCCTATCTTTATCAGAGAGTCAGAGTGTCTCAGAAAGGAATTTCAGAGATTAGAATTAGAAAGGAACTATCCAGAGGTGGCTCAAAGGAAAACACTGAGAAGACAGCATATCCTAATCTTTTCTCAACCACTTCTCTGGGCTTCACTCAGGTTTACAGTGAGACATTTGTTACCCGCAGATTAAAAACTCTGGGTGAGTTGCTGCTAAAAGCATTTTTTTTTCAGTAAACTCTGCATGTCTTATATTTCTAGCATACCCTCTGTATTTTTCCCCCTGACAACAGCATGTTTCTCCCTTACTGGTAACATTTACATCCACTGTTTTTGCATTCCAACAGAGAGATCCCTCAGTGGCTAAGTACTTGAAAGGCACATACAGCACATGAACAAAAGTTTTCATACACAGATTTTGATGCACCCATTTGTCAGGTGCACCTACTTAACAAGCTTTGCCTACAGATGCCTTGGACAGAGAACTAAACAATCCATTAGAGGTTACCTCTTTCCAAACCTTTCTTGGCATACAAACACATGGATTTTGAACAAATTTCAGATTATACCAAAACAACTTTTCTCCCCATCACCACTTGCAATAGCAAGCTCATGGCCATTTATGTTCATGTGATTTTATTTATGTCCCAGAGAAGACCAATTGCTCATATTTTAGAATGCAGCTCATTCACAACTTACAGAAATAAGGGCAAGATAAAACATGCATTATATAAGAACCAATTGAGAAAGGTCTGGCAGATACTGTGATACATAAGTGGTCACAAGTTTGATAACTAAATATATTCAGAAGCATCAACATTGACTTCTTAGCTAATCTAGGTGGATGTGAAAACTATCAAAACCCAAGGATCCCAGGATGATGACAGGATCCCAGGCTCTTAAAATCACAGAAATAGAGGCTTCCAGTTGGAGAATTGAAGCAGACTTAACAATTTCTCTACTTATGTTGCTACATCACAAACAGTTACAATATGTTCTCACATTCAGGGATAAAATTCATCACTTGCTTTTCAAAAGTGGTATTTATTGCAATCTTATATGCTGTAGTAAAAAGGGGTTATTAAAAAAGGGGCTTTAGGGTAATACCAGCTATGCCGACTCTCAGACAGTATTGCTGTTGATGCAGACTTGGAGCCACGTGGAGAGCATGGAAAACACACCTGTAACATCTCTTTCCCTGTGACAGCCAGGTAATCTGGTGTAGGGGCCTGCTTCTGCATTCCTAAGGCATCCCACCTTCCTGACCTTCAGCTGTCAATACATAAGGCAGAGTGTACACGTTGCCTCCAAAGCACTGCTGTGCTTTATAGTGCACAATGAATCACATAACACAGATGCAATGCTGTTTGGAGGAGCTGGAAATTGAGGAAAAAACACACAAGCACAACTTCCAGACTGAACTGACAGATGTAATTCATTTCCATAAAAGCAAAGACTGTTATTGACGAGAATAAATAAAGGAATCAAAGTCAATTGCATGGTAAAAAAAAGACACTTCTATATTGCAGTAGCAAAAATCATTCAGACAGTCCTAGACTTGTGTGAATAATCAGGTCCATTAAACTTCTGACTGGACACCTCTACCCTTGCAAAGTCTCTCTTTGCACCCCATATGAACACACTATAACACCTAGTTATAGTGGTGTTGATATAGTCACAAAGCTAGGGTGGAGGTCAGAGGATGCAGGGGGAAAAACCAGTCCTCCTATTGCTGGATCTGTGCCCATACAACCCACATAATGCTCGGGCCTCTTCAGGGCCAAATCTGTAGGCATTCTAACACCTGTCTATACACATTCCACATACATTACCTGGTGCTAAGGTTTCCTGGGTGTACAGGTTCCTTGAGCAAGGGATCCAGAAACACTGTGAAAAACATGTATGAAATTATCTCCTGATTCAGCAACTGAATCATACACTTTTGCCAGCTCCAGATCCAGGACAGACTCCTGAAACAAAACACCTTACAGTGTGCTTCGAGGGGCCTCACAGGACTTCTGCTTTACTATAAAGGCCCTTTGGCTATGGTTACTCCACACTGGACATAGCTATGTCAACTGGGAACTCATATCTATATACATGTTGTAAAATGGGCAGAAGTCTTTCAAGGTCTTTAATGGGCAAACAAGAAGAATATCTCAGTCTGCAATCAGTTAAAAAAATCCAAAAAACAGAAAGAGTAGATACAACACCGGGGAGCCCCAAGTTTTTTGTGCTGTTTTGGCAGACTCTCCCATGCTGTGAACACCACTTCAGAGTAGCTCTTTATTCAGCTTCTTGTCATCTGAAAAAGAAAACACTTCAATGCATTTTTAATGAATCTCCTCTACTTTGAAATGAAATTTTCTCAGCTGAGGAAGTAAAAACCTCCACAGAACAAACAGAAAAAGTCACATAGGAAACATATCAAAAATTACAATAAATGCCAGTGAGTACATCCGGACACATAATCCATCCTAGAATGCCTTTGGCAACTTGTTCCAACAGCTTCACACCTGCTGAGTCTCCAGCAAGATTCCTTTCACACTGTACCTCAAGGCTGGCACATAATTCCCATCCAAAGGCTTTCATCAGCATCAGCCAGTTCAGCAATACAGGTAAGTCCTCTACTCTTCTTAAAGACTACCCTCCAGCATCACTTTCCAACAAATTTGAAAAACAAGCCTTTTATCTATATTTCTCTAAATCTTGCTGGCTTAATCACATGAACTCACGCCTTCATTTTCTCTCACCCAGTAGCATCAGGTTGTGAGCAGTTCCTTCCTGCACTCAGACTGGGATTACCCTTCACTTTGTCTTTTGAATTTCCTCCAGCCTCACTCAGCTGTCTATACAGCTTCCTGTCTCTCTATGCCTGTTCCGGCTGCCATCCTGACATAACAATTGCTAGCATAAGCTATGAAAAGTCACATGAGCTACATCCAGCCTTTTCCCAGGTGTTTCTTCACTTATATCTGGAGCTGTCATCTAGTTGGTTTCCTAGACAATTTTAGTCTTACCATCTCAGATCATCTAACAGGGTGAGCAGGTTTTACCTTTAATATGTATCAGGGCTGCTCAGTAGATGAACAGGGACATTCTGCATTTGTGACCAAGATTTTTATTCAGATAATGGCATACTTAACTCTGGCTTCTTCAAGAGCATTCCAAAAGAGCATCCCAGCTCTATGGATGTGAGACTGAGCCCTGCAGAAAGGAAGGAGGAAAAGGACAGAAGGCAGTGGTAGGCAAAAAGCCAGAACCTGACTTCCCCAACCAAGTCCTCCTCAGCTGTGTTTTTTTTCTTAGAAGTACTAAGCACCACACATAAAAATAGAACATTTTAATGTGAATTGAGGGCACCTATTCCCAGCTCAACTACAGATTTTTCACGGGCCTACAGTGAGACCATTCGGACAGAAAATCCAGGCTCAACTTCCTTAAACTCAGACTGAAGATATACATACAACAGAAGTCTCATGGTCCTAATAACCAGTAACAGATTTAGTGCTCTCAAGAAGTACTAATCATACCCAGTACACGAAGAGGAATGAAAAATTATTTTAGAAGGGGTTTTGCACTAGCCCAGAGCAAAGTTCCTAATTGTTTTCAGCCTCCTCTTACACCACCAGCAGCCATAGCTCTAAATTACATAAAACCTGACCCCAGCAACTTTCCTTGGATGCTCAACAGACCTCAACTATAACCTAAGAGCAGAATTCCCCATCTAGTCAATGCAAGTGACATGAGTAAAATGTGGGATGTGGGGTGGGTAACATCATGCCATATAGCATTAAGTGGTAGCAGCAGCATGTATGACTAATTCATGTATCTGGCTTGAAAATGACAGCCACAGAAGACAGCAGAAAGGGCTGTAGTCTCCCAGATCTATGATCTAGCTGTGGTTGTCAAACACAGCAGATTTCTTGGCATCAACATCTGTCCCTGAAATAAGCAGCAATTACAGCACTTTGCAGCATTGTAATTCATTCTGACAGCTTTCAGCTCAGCCTGCAAAAAGATTTGATGGTCCTGGCCACACTTAGCAAAAGAAATTAGGGTGCCCCACCCTCTGCCTTGCATGGGCCACTGTGCATACTAAAATTATTTCTCCGCATGTCTCTCTACACATATTTGTTGCAAGCTATATTTCATCCTTGCTGAAACACAGTTTTTACAAGTCTATGCCTTCTAATGCACTGACACTTTACCAGGCCCAAGCACAGAACATCAGAAGATCACTTTAGGTCATGTAAAGAATTACAGTAGCTGACAACCGGCCTGTTGGTAGGTAAGGTAAGGAGTAAGTGCTCTTAGATTACCTCACAGGAATTACAAATAAAGAAATTAGATAATAAAGTGGGCACTGTTAATCTGTGTATTATTTGTTTCTGATGCTGTGAAAGAGGCAAGGTAATTAATTTAGCTTTTAGCTTGTTAATGTAGTGAGACACATCATGACAAAGATACAGTGGTAGACTGGTGTGCCATCTTAATAAATAATACTACAGATTAACATTCATCATATTGCTAATGAAAACCATCCCTCTATCTGTTCAAATATAAAGCATCAGGTTGATTGAATCATTTAGCGAGATCAATGTTCCAGCAATAACTGGAGAAGAATCCATGCCAAAGAAGTTCACTGAATTCCTTCCTCTTCCTGCTTCAGGCCACAATCAGAAAGACAACTGTTTAAGAACTCTCACAATCGTATTTTATTTGACATTAGCAATATACACTGGAGTATAATAGGAACAATTTTTTGCACAGTCTTTCTTGCAAGATGGATTTATTTTCCAAGTACATAGATGTTCATAATACAGGAAGGTAACAGTTAAGCTGCACAATAGCAAAACAAGTTGACACCTATCAAACCACCTTTTAAGTTTGTTACTATAGTCAGGTGACCAGCATTGAACATATGCATTCAAATAATTTAGTTAACCTCTGATTCTTCCAGTTCTCCCAGCCACGTTATTCCATGCAACTAAAATGTGCACCAGGAATGGTGTAAAAGAATTCAACCCCAAGGCTTCCCTTGCTTTGATTTCTTTTCCGTTTTTCTGCATGTATGAGCCAATAACATCAGAACCTGACATGGCACAGAAACTCTTGCAACATGCATCTAGGACAGTTACATATTGCAGAAGTAGTTACATTATTGACAGAGAAGTTAAGAGAATTTAGGACTTTCCTACAGAGGGTGTTAAAGATGACTATGTTTGCTTTAGTGTAGATTTTCTGCATGCCACTAATTTTACAGAAAAAATAAAAACACTTCCAAAAGCTTCATATTTTTCACTGGGAGTCTTCCTTACAATGTCTAAGCCTAAACCCAGATGCTTTAGTCACAGTGGACAGGGCTTCTCAGGAAAATAAAAGCTTATAGTAAATTAAAATACCAGTAAATACCATCTTCTTGATTTTTCTTTCCAGCTTAAAAATGACACACAGATATAGCAGCTGCTACACCTCACACAGAAACTACCCTTTTTTCTTTTTGGTTCTTCAGTTGGTACAGGTCTTAAACTTTGAATTAGTTGATATCTCCCAGCCTGTCTCTCAACTGTGAGTTGAGAACAAAGGGGTATTTCACATCATTCATTAGATGGACCAATTTTAACAGCTCACAAAGGTGCCTCAGCAATTTGGAGTATCAGAACTGGCAGACCCTACCCACTCTGTGCCTTGCTGCTTGACTGCCAGGGTTTATCTGTCAGTGGCATGGATGCACACCCTCTCCCTGCCCAGACTCTGCTGTCCACCCTGGTGATGGAGATGGGATGCAGAGAGAGCTCATGGCTGAAGGGAAGGCGTGTGAACCCCATGCCATCCTTGGAACTGCTGCTCCCCACCTCAGCCACAAGGCAAGGGAGCAAAGTCAGAGACAGATCTGGAACAAATCAAAGCAGCGCAAAAGTACCAGAACATGCCAAAGCGTGGGTTTAGATTATACACTTGGGGCGTTTTAAATAGCTAATGAGCAGTCCTCAAGCCTAATTCAACTCTCACATCTTACTTCAGCAAAATGCATCAACTGTTCTGATCCAGAACTGGGATACCTTCTCCTGCTGAGCAGATTGCTCCATCAGGACAAAATTTAGACCTACAAAACCACATTCCCAACTCAGCAAGGCCAGCACTGAGTGTCCTCCTTACTGGACTGATGAACTGAACTTAAAAATTCCTAGGTTTTATTTGAAAAGGCATTACCTTCTGCACTTCCCCCATAGCATAGCAGAGAGAAAACTTGGAAGCATACAGGGAAGCTGTAAACTTCCATACTTAGTAAGACTAGCTGAGAGTGTGAGAATCAAAAAAGGTCTTTTCTTTTATTCACATATTTTTTCTTACCTGATTTCACTATACTTATGCATATGATATCCAGAGAGAAAGTGAGAAGTAGCCTTTTAAAATCTCTCTACAGAGTTCTCACCTTCTGTTTGTGTATCATCTTCACATTCTCCAAAATAAAAAAAAATACCACCCATGTACTTATGAAATGGCTACTGAATATCACACAGCTAAGCATCTTTTCCAGCATGGCATATATTAACTAGCTTAAGAGAAAGCCCACATACATTCATTGTGCCTTATCTTCCTATTTTTCAGTACAGAGAAAATATTTTTATATTTAAAATTTAAGAAGTTTAAACTAAATATCCTCCAAATTAGAGATTTTATTTGAAAACAAAAGCTATCTTTTTAATATAAGCATAGAGAGACTTCTGAAGTTGACTTAGAAGTGTCTGCTACCTTCCTAAAGTTTGCAATGGAGCTTGTGATTTCCTTGTGCAGATGAGAAGGTCTCTTTAAAAAATAAATTATAAACCCAAGAAAAATTCAGTTTGATTTTCTTCTTCATAAATACACAACAAAATGGAGAAAGGAGCATCAAAAAGAAAATACCTTTTTCCAGTGTTTAAGCTACAGGAGAGGTGGTAGGGGCATAATAACTATACCTACACAAAAAAAAAAAAAAAAAAAAAAAAAAAAAGAAAAAAAAAAATCAGTGATGTAGTTTTTCTGGGAAGGCCCACAACTAGGGGCATGAGGTTGTGGGTACTACCAGGCAGCACCAATAAGCATGTTCTGTTTCATTACCAGACATGTACTTGTCACTCCCACCACATTCCACATCAGAACATTTAGCAGGCATATGAGGAGAAGACAAGACTGCAATACACCTTGGTCCTCCTGTTCAGTCCTGTTACAGTGAATATGAGCTGTGCTGAGCCAAAGGAAGAGTTTTCATTCTGCCCTATTTCGTACTCCAAAAAATCGTTTTCCATCCCACTCCCAGTACACCAAAGACCCTGATGCCCTTCGGTACAGCTTGAACGCAGAGCAACACAAATGTGTTCCAGCTGGCAGCAGCTCTGCTTCACATCTTTCCAGTCGTCTAGCCCCAGCATCAGAAACCTTAGAACAGATTAACTGTGCTGATCCTCATGCAGGATTGGTAGTTGAATTCCACACTGCACTCAGCTCGTTCCTAAGCTGCCTACTTGCAGAGGAGTTTAGGGGGCATTTTCATAAGTGGCTTAATTCAATATAAGATCTGCATGGTATCTAAAACAGGCAGTCTCACTCTCCTTACCCTTTATGACCACAGGTTCTACCTTCTCCTCCATCAGCAGCGTAACAGCTTTCATGCACCCATATGGTGGGTTACAAGCACATCTTTGCCTTTCATGGGATCCACACTGTGCAAGTGCCAAGGTTGTGGACGTACATTTTCAGACATGCCAAATTTAAACGCAGCTGCACTCCACAAGCTGTAGCACTGACCGGATTGCTCAGCACTAAAGAGCTCCCATGAATTCAGGTACAGGAATGAAGTCTTCAGATTTAGGAGGAAGGCATGACACTTCAAAAAACTGGCTGTTACTGTAATGAAAGCTTTTACTTCCCACCATCCCCTCTAATAACTGAATTAAATCAGAGACAGCAATGATATTTAGTCTCTTAAACATAAAGCAAGTTAAATGGTAAACATTCTGAAGCGCTTCATTACTGAACACTAAATATATACAGTATCAGAAAGATTAAAAAAATGTTACTGTTTACATTTTTGGTTAAGAAATGTTCTAAAACAAAGAGAAACAGTAATACTTAATAAAACTCAATCTTTTTCCCTTATCATTCTGTCTCCTAATTCTTTCCAGTTGATAATGAAAACACCATTTTTTGAAAACAGCTTCAATGAAACACAAATGTTTATAACAGGACATTAGGCACTTTTCTTTATTACTTTCTCATTATACTTATAATTAAGAAATAATTATTTCTAGCCTGTTTCCTGCCAGATGCAGTTCTAGTACCTCTAATAGGATATATCTTAAAATAACTTCTTGGTAGCAAGAAATGAAATTTTTCATCCATACTTATGTTTTCCCTTCTCTTCCTTTTCTCTCGCTTCAAATAACTTCATTGATTTTGGCTCTTTCATAAACTCTGGCCTGGTTCTATTTTTTTTCCTCCATTATTTGTCATAGATATAATTCACAAAATCACTTTTGTGGAAGAAAAATTACCACAGGGGGTACCGGAGGTTGGAAAAAGCCTGAGAGGGCATTTATTTTAATGCCAGTGGAGGTAGGATGAGAATTCTCAGACTGTGGTTTCACACCAGCTTTTATCCAGATCAAAGCATCAATCCAGCCTTCTCAGCCCCTCCTTTGTACCAGTACTAAGACAGGGAGCCAGATCAGACACATTCCACTGCTACTTACCAGCCAAAAGACAATAAGACAAAGTTGGATTTCAGCTAGGCAAGTTATTTCAGCCTGCTCGCTGCAAGCACTGAAATACTTCTCCACACACAAAGCAAGACAATTAGGAAGAAGGTGAGAGCACTACATTCAGCAGTAATATAGTTTTATGGTGGTCTTAAAAAAGAGCCACAAAAAAACATGGATTCTGCTTATAGCCTCTCTAGCACAGACTGCTTCAGATCACGACAGGACATAATCCAGCTCCAATCCAGAAGCCTCTTAGAATAAACATGCCCTCAGTCCTGCCCTGCCCAGTATGCTTCATCAGCCCTTGAAATATGGGTTAAATACTCAAGGCCAGGATTTTTCAAAAGTGGATTAATTTCCACCATGAAAGCACTGCTGGTATTGATTTTCAAAGGCATGTATCTATGAAACAAACATTTTCATGTAATTGCTCAAGAACTCTGGTTATCTGAAATGCCTCAAACTTCCACCACTGCTCTGGTGACAGAGAATGTTGCCACAAATTGATACAAAATGAAATACATGTACATACAGAATCATATATTTATGAAAAGTATCTTCTTATTCCTTTGACAACCTAGTACATTCTAACAGAGAAGGAGATTTTAAAGTTTGCAAATACAAAGCATACTGTGAAGATACAGTCAGTAATAAGAATAATTATCACGTATTTTGAAATAACTTTGAAGAAACATGTTCTTTACTTCTGAGTCTTCCATCCTCGTAGCAGTTTTACTTACCATGGAGACGAACCACCAGCACAGGATGATGAGGCAAGACAAAGCAGTAATCAACTAAATTTTGTAATTCATCGAGGTTACAAGTCCAGCTGAGTGCTTCATACTGTCACCTGCTTCTTCTACCAACACCCAGTTAACATTTTTCCAAGGAGGAAAATGTATTCACAAATAATGATTATTCCCTTAAGTGTTTCTTTATGCCATCAGATCACACACAGATTACTGTGTCAGTTAACAGCAACTTGGATACGGCATTCGCAAAAACCACTAAGCAAATGTTGAAGGAGATCAACAACAGAAAGATCACCTGCACGAAAAAATCCCACCTCTGTGCTAGCTGAAGATTAATTCAATAGTACTATACTTTTCCTGCAGCTAATTTTCTTGAAAATAGATGTATGAAGATAATAATAATAAAAAAAAAAATAACCTACCTCACATGGTGTTTTCCATCCAGAAGAATACTCTTTCAAAACAAGACTATTAGCAAGTGCATCTTGAGTTTGTTTCCTTACAATTTAGGGAATTATTTCCATGGATACATGTATATATGTATCTAGGCTGCTGCAACAGCATTAGTATTTTTAATGCCAAAACTATGCTATTATTTAAAAGGAGCATTCAATAATTGATGGGAGTTTGGATGGTTTTCTAAAAAAGGGAATCTCCAAGGCTTTTTATTTTTGCTGCTGTTATTTTTATTTTGAAGAAGTCATCATGCTCTCAGTTCCTCTCCATGAAAATGAAAATAGAATTACGACCAAAAAATATAGTGAACTGCAATGGGTATTAACTTGCTTGCTTTGAAATCCTTTATAGTGGAATAATACAAAAAGCATAAGAAAGCCTAAGAGATACTTGGAGATGCAGTAAGTTAGAGACTAGAAGGCAATGCTATTCAGTTCTGAAATAAAAACCTACTGCATTATTTAATTCATGTGAAAACAAAGTATGTTTTACAAATTCTATCAATTTTACATTAACTGCATTTTTCATTCCCTCAAGAAAACAGTACATAACATTAGCAAAGAGAGATCTCTACAGGGTGTTCTATACTTCACACTACTCTCACTTGCTTGGGATGTGGCAAAAACTTACTTTTGAAGTCTCATTTGCTCAGAACATGGTGAAACTACTAACCACACTAACATTTTCCAAAATAGCTATATCTGGACTCTGAGGAGAGGCCTACAAATGAAAACTGCACAAATTAATGCATATCAGATACTCTTTCAAAATGGTACATTTTTTCCTTTTAAATTTCCTGTTTAAAGTGCACTGAAGCAAAAGAAAAACAGAAAACCACATATTGGTGTCAGTAAATACTAGTATAGGTTCTTACAAAAATATAGGCATGCTTTGAAATACCACAGTGAAAGAAATATAAGGTCTTGAAAAAAAATAGGAAAAAAGGATGTTATTGTCATTTAATTTTAAATTAATTTCCATTTTTTTCCTGGATTTTTTTTCCTAGTTTTTTGGGTGTTGTGATTGGTGGTTAATACTGACCTCCATAATTTTTTACCCCGTGGCTTTTCATTGAGTATGAAATTTTGTTTATAGAGCTTTTTTCGTCTGTATATAAATGGAGAAGCTATATTGTTTTCCTCCTGTCAGACTACAAAGGGAAGCGCCTCCTATTCTCCCCACTCAGCACTGAACTAAACCCACAGGAAGATGTCCCAGGTGGCCAGCGTGTGTCTCTTACAAACCATTGTTGTCATTCTTCCATTCTGGCCTTCCCTCCACTTCCAATAACATAAGGGATATGAGAACACTAGGCTTTGGATAAATTGGATAAATACACACTGCATCCTCTGATGCTGTCACATGGCACACAGACAATGCACTACAGCTTAGGGTACCCTGTGGCCAAATGACATATAGGAGGTAGGTGAGACAGTGGAAAAAGACAGAATTCTGTGCATATTGAAAAGCAGAGTTAATTGAATTTTCTGTAGAAATACTGGATAAATCCTAATAAATATAGTTACTTGGCTTTCCCCATTTTTTTGCAAGGTCCATCCTGAATGATGACAATGATGAGAGACCAAAGGCTACACCTGAACACCCTATAATCAATAAACTTTTAGTATCTGTTAACAGAAAAGCTCTATTCACATTCCTTATTATTTACCTCTTTCACTCAATTACTATATGGTCTACTTGCCTGATCACAGGGTAATGTAAAGTGGATGACTAAACAGCTTACAGAGTGTACTTTTCCTCCCCTTAAAAGACACATAAGAGGAAGAAATGCACCACCAAAACCCATTTGGTGGAGATGAGTCCACTTTGTAGGAGGAAAACCAGACTCCAGTAATGCTGGTGAGCTCAAAGAGCTCAGGTCACCACGGAGGGCAGGGTCTAGGTTTGCCACCTTGCTCAGTTTCATTATTTTCACAACTGCAGTGAAACCTGTTAATAGAGGGCTCACAGCTGACTACAAAACACACTTCAGTTTCTATGAAGGCAACCTTCCTGAACCACGTTTTCAACTGTTTTTCTCAAATGACTGCATTAGTGGTGAGGGCTGCACCACTGCAATCTGTGAGAGTTTTGCTGCTGGTAACAATGTCTCCGAGGAAACGGCAGTCAGTGGAGATCTATCTTTGCTCCCTCGTAAGGATTTTTGACTTTCTATCCAGTTGCATTTCCTGTTGACAGATATAACTTACCTCAAGTGTCTAGTTAGCTTTAAATCATATGGTACTCTCAAAAAAAAAAAAAAATTGTTCAACAAAGCAAATAGAAAAAATAAAAAACAACAACAAAAAATAGTTCCTGTAGAGTTCATCTCACTCAAACTCAGCTATAATAAGCCATTTGGTCACTGAAATGACACCTGCAATGTTCTCCCTTAGGATTTTAGTTAGCAGTTCTGAACATTTGGGTTGCTATATTTAGCATATTCCCACTTTTTCTGTGTGTGTGTGCTTCGGAGTTACAGCATCGCTGAGTATACTACAGGCTCTTTACTGTTTCTGATCACTCTACAAGAAGATTAAATATAAGGAAGAACAACTGTTAACAATAAAATCCTATTTACATTGTCCACATGTACTTTGGAAAGGTAATTATAGTAATTTCTTTATATGTTGCAACATAAAAATGTAGTACAGTTCAACAGATGAGTCCTAGACTCATAATGATTTTTTTTTATGTGTTTCATTTTCAACGTAGGCATGGAAGTGTTGTAAAGTACTTCAAAAATACACTGTCAGATTTAAAATAGGTAATTGTGGGTTTTTGTGGTATCCTTAAAAACTTCTTCCAAAATTGAAGCAAAGAAATAAATATTTGTAATCTATTAATTTTTGCAATCCTTATTCCCCTTATAAGTCTTTAAAAGGAAACTATAAGTAAATTCAAGTAGCACATTTATCTAATCTTAACCTCAACCAGTGCTGATCCCCCTGAGCAATGCACTAGAAAAAGCTGATTATAAATCAGTGTATCGGGATGGGTGGAAGGAAGAGAGAGCTGTTTCTAATTAATTGTTTAGAGCTCTGCCTGAGAGAAAACATACTTGGTTTTCATCACAGAGGAAAGCCAACAGTAATTTCAGTAACTTCTGCTGCACACACTAGGTTCTCCACACAGAAGGTCATCATTCTTCATGCTAGAAATATTTCATCATTTGTGTAATTATAATCAATAACTGCCAGAGGATTAGCTTTGTTTCTTCTGATTTAACAAAATAAATAATCAATCTCTTGCATACTATCATCTATTCTCACAACTGGAACAATGTGACCTTATCAGAGAGGAAACACCTACAGTAACTACCAATACACCCAAAGACACAAATTACTGAAGTTAGACATCTTGCATGGGTGCCCCATTTCCAATTCTGTGGGATGTTACATGTAATGGTTTTCAAGGAGTGCTCAAACATCTTCTAGATGTAAAAGACAAAAAAGAAAGGACTAAACCTGGCCTTTTGAGAGCATCCCTTAAGTGAAAAAAAGACTAAGGCAATTGTTTATATCATCAGTACATTAAAGTCACATAAGACACTCCCACATCTTCTGCATTTTATCATCTACAGTCCAATGTTAGACATGAAAGAGCAGCCTGGGATCTCTTGCCACCTCCCAGGTCCCATACATTAAAGGTCAGATTCTCAGCCATGAGATGGCTAAAAGGCTTGGAGAGCCAGAACAGTCATAGTTTAATAGACAGATGGGGCACAGTCATAGTTTCACCATTATGGGTTCTTTTTATTCTGACTCTTGTCTCAGCATAGTGTAAGGTAGTCTCAAAATGCCCTCAATTATCCCACTTACTTGTGGTCTCCACCAATCCTTCGATCAGTGTCTGGGCACAGAAATACTCAACACTCACCTGATCTGCCCTGCAGCATACGACTTTGACCATAGGCTACCAATCTGCTACTCCAATCAACTGAAGCTAAGGTTTAGTTCAGACCCTTTAAAGACACAGCCAGATCACAGCTGAGAATTTGGCCTTTGATTTTCACCTGTCATCTGCACAGAAACACTAACCATTTGCCTAGCCAGATGGATCTGTACAAACATATTTATACGTATTAGGAGTGTATCTTACACCCGTTCCAGTGAAAACAACATTTATGATCAAGACTTCTACCACGTTTAACTATTTGATTTTTTAATAAACTCCCCAGCTTGTACATTGCATATTGAGATGCTAAGAAAAGCGTCTATCTATGCCATAGTTTAAAATAAACAAATGGATCATAAATTTTCCCTGGGCTCCACCTAGAAACTTTATTTTCTTATTTATGTCACAGTAGTCCTTCACAAAAAGAGTGTCTTTCATTCACACACTGACAAGCCATAGCCGCACTCATCAAAGCACAGGACATTTTTTTTTTTTTGCTTAATTTTGAACACTTTTAAAACTATGTTGAAAATTTAACTTGACACAAACATTACATGAAGTAGGGGCAGAATATGTGTTCAAAGGAAATCAAGAATGTAACTGAAAAATATGGGAGGGTGGAGGGGGAGAAGGAAAGAAAAAAAAACAAACCCCAAAACATCTGAAGAAAAAACAAAGAATTCAAATTAAAAGTTCAACATTGCAGATTTCATCCTCATCTACTACAAAGGATGTAATTTAGGAATAAATCCACTCAGGCTGGTCAGAAAGGTCAAAGAAGAATCACACAGTTAAGATCACCTTACCAAACTAGAAAATCCAATTTTGAGAATTACATCAGATTTCAGATTTTACAAGGTTCAATTATTATTTTGGAGTGAGTTACAATGCAAAATAATGCTTAGTAAAAATATATGGAGCTCTACAACTCCTTTGCATAACTTTCCCAGAGTTGCACCTTCCCAGGCTGGACTCTCTTTTCTTTTTCCACTTCTCATTTTCTTCCCCCCATTCTGCCAATTTTAATCTAGCAGGGACAGTCCTTTTCTAGCAAGCACTGTCAAAATATTCAGGACATGGACCTCGCACTCAGAGAATACAATGCTGTGTCCAGACAGCAGTGCTGGGTGCCTCAGGGATTTGCAACAGCCAACGTGCATATTCCTAGCAGTCAGATGTGTTCCACTGCACAGCTGTGCACCTCTGCCTCTGATTTTTTCGGGTGCATGTCCCTCCCAAAGACAAGTTCTGTACATCCAGAGTAGTTTGTCTGAAGGAGTGATGGCTCATTCCTAATTGAAGGGAGGAAGATCCATTACTCTGGTAAGAGTTAACTAATTATCCCCAATAGTTCCAGCCTTTACAATGGGAAAGTAGCACACAGCTTTTATAAATAAGAATTATTGACCTTTTTAAATAGTTTCAAAAGAAGAAACTATGCATCAAATGTGAGTATAATTTAGGAACTACTACATAGCAGCAAAACTACATTAGACTTTCCGATTTTTCCATGGTATCCTTGGATAGATACACCACCCAGTAGACCATGTTAAATGCTCCAAACGTAACAGGAAATAAAATGCGTGCATATTTGTCTATCTTACTCGTGCCAGAGTGGGAGGCGGGGGGAGCAGGTGGTGTGACAGCAGATGGTTTTGCAGATGCTCCTAATGTATTAGGTGTGGTGGTCTGAATCTGCTCCAGTCTAGATCCAAGCAAGTGCTGAATGGAAGGGGATCCAGCTGTGGCATGCTGGGATACAAATCCAGTTAAAATTGGGGTAGAAGGAGGAGCTGGAGGGGTAGCTCTTGCAGAAGATAATGTCTCTGATGCATTGATGCGTGTGAAGGGGTTGGGACTTGATGCAGAAAGGGAGTGGGGTGTAATGTCAGAAGACCCCTGAGCTACAGAGGGAGGCTGGATGGAGCTGTGCCTTGTGTCAATTCGGCTCCCACCATCAGCTTCAGACTGTACCGTGGCATTTGTTCTTTTCCTCACATTTGAATTCGCATCTGTACTCTGCAAAGTAACAAAAAAATACTAGAGTCATTCTTAAAATAAGCAAACAAAAGTAATGGAAACTATGATCAAGAACTATGAGAGTAATACTAATATATATAACCAGTACCTTGATCCTAAAGCACAAAGGTCATCATGAAAATAGATTAAATAGCATATAAAGTGATAAACAAGAGTTCCTTTTACCTGTAGCTGGAATACCAGAGACAACTAATGCATCACACTCCATGTGATGTGGTACCTATTAATACCATGAGGCTAAGCCTTCTTGGGTTAGAGTCATGGCTTTTTACAGGCTCATGCTCAAAACGAGATTCTCTGATGTCTACCTATTTCTCCGATAATATAAAAATATTCTAGGTGCAACTTACCAGCCATGATGGTTTACTGCTTTATATCTCCAGAAAAATAACTACCATATAGTAGGAATTCTAGTCTGTCTTCTAAACCTGAGGCTATTAAAACGCAAGTATTTACCAAACCAAGTTACCACATTGCTGCTCTTTCAGAAATATAGCCAGTGCTTTTTCACATCAACCATAGGCAATAAATTCTCCACACACAACTGAACCAGGGCATAAATTCATCTTTCATCAATTAATCATCTGCATTAATTAACTACGAGAAGTGGTGAATTCTCCATCACTTGATGTCTTCAGGCAAGTCTGGATGTCTTTCTGAAAGATATACTTCAACCAAATAATACTTATTAGACCGGATGAGAAACTGAAATAAAGACAAGGCAGTACAGATGGGAAATCCATCAGTTTAATATTTCATGACTTTTGAGAGTGGGACTCGATCTCTGTCTTTCTTCTCTGCTTTAAAGAGAAATACTAATAACTCTTGAACTTCCTTCTGGAAGGGTACCTGAAGAACAGAAATGCAAACCTTTAGCCCTGCACTTAAAATGTAATATAAAACATATTATACTTCAGATATAATATGTGAATATTTTTTAGTCAGAGACTAACTGCTTTCCAAAAGACATAGACTTAAGGGTAGATAGAGTACACATACTCATCATTAATACAGGTCTAAAGAAAGACATGGTCAAACAATAACTTGTTATATATGTAAAAAAATTCCTATGTTTTGCACTTCTCTGATGATACCACTCCCAAACACTTCCCTGCACCATACCTACTGTGCTTTTGGCTCCCCTTCCCTTCAATGTTTCCAGAGAACCCTGCCAAAGCTCACAGCACAAATCAAAGGGAGAGAAAGCAGGCAGGAATCTCTCTTCCCTCCATCATCCAACAGCAGTTCTCTCCAGAGAAGTGACAGAGCAGTAACAGAGAAAAACTCAGGTGTTATTCATGGTACTAGCAGTACCTTGAGTAGTGAGAAGAGCAATAATCATATCTGTCTGCTATATTAGTTGTGCTTTGCTGTTCTGCTCAAGGAAACAGAGAAATGGGAGCTGAAATGAAATCTGAAAATATAATAATAATAATTAAAAAAAAAACACCTGATATCTCTACTACTCCCACCATGAATGCTGCTCCCTAATCCTTTTAATTGCAGTACAAATCTATTACTGGCAACACCATTGGCCTGAATTTATCTGAAACTGTCACAGCCTGTTCATGGCTGATGTACTTGCCAGTTCACAGTTGATATATCAAAGAATCCCTCAAGTTTCAGTTTTCCTTCCTGCATACAAGTGTAGCAATCCCTTTTATTTACTCTTCTGCATCTGCAATCCAAAGAAGCAGAGAAGGGGAATAAACACCAGAAGAAACTGGTATTTCCTGGAAGAAACACTGACTTTAGTCTTTGATAGAGAAGCCTGTGTCACTCTTCGGGAAGCGCAGAAGTACACACAGGTCTGCAATTTCGATACTTTCATACTAGGGTTGTCAATGACCCAGGAATAGTAAAGCAGCTTTCAATACTGATAAACTGAAATGATAAAGCACAAACAGGACAGGAGTGCATTTCATAGAGACTTGGTAATACCTGATGGACTACTGCATGTCACTTGAAGGCTTGCAAAGCTGAGCAGATGCAAATCAATGTTCACTGCCCGAAACAACAGCTCTGTGCTATGGAGAAGTTGGCAGGAGAGTCAATGATAGAAAATGAGTTTTGTCTTCTCTGTGCAGATTCTTGGACAACCTGGTTTTGCACAAGTATGATTCACCCACCATAAAACTCTCAAGCAGCACCCAGGTAGCAAAAGTCCAGGGGCTGGGATAGGGGTTGCAAAGTAGATCTGCACTGGAGTAAGACACATCTCACTTCATTCCTGCTCTCTCTGCATTAGACAAGTAGCTTACAGGTGCTGCTGCTACAGAATAGAATTACCAGAATCACTCCATGTGCAGCCATAAAAGAATGGTCCAAAGAGTAGAACAAAAAATTAAGTGCAATTAATTTACAGAGGCGCCATTTAATGTTCTTGCTCACTTGTTCTGTCACCTGTTTTCAAAGACCACCTTGGTATATATCCCTTTTGGGCATCACCAACAGCAGACACAGGTAAGACAAACGGGCAACATTCAGGCTCCTCATTTTCCAGTCATCTCCGTTTCCACCTAAGTGACCAAATCAGACCTATTGCTACTTGATTCACAACTCATTTCTCATTACAGTCTCTATTCTAGCATAAAATTATCTATACTATTTCAAATGGTCAAAATATGCATCTGTGTAAAAGCCTACTGGGTATTCACTCTCATTAGTTACACAGAAAACTTAAGGAACTTTTAAGTTTAGTCAGAAACCCCATTTTCTCATAACGTACACATGAATGTACATATAAAGTCTAAATAGATAACACTGTAAGATCACAACATAATACTGCATAACAAGCACCAAAAATATAGGTACATTTTTTGTTAATTCTTTGGAAACCACCTCATAAGCACTTAGAGCATAGAAATTAGAAATGGTATTTCTAATGTGCTCCACAGACAACATATCACTGAAAACTGTTTGTTCTTCCACAGTGTCATTGTAATAGTTTGGATTTGTGTTCTTGAGTTGAACCTTCTCCTTGAAATATACTGAAACAAGCATGTTCCATGAAGCACCCAGCTCCATGCCATGTCAAAGCTGACCAGAATGCACACTTGTTGCCAGGGTAGCCTCACCAGCACATTGGCCACCACCTCCCCTCATATATCCTTTTCTTGCACTTGTTTACTCAAGACTATACTGTGACAATAGCTTATTCTCATTCAAAGCACTCAGATATCGCTCCTTGTTGAGCTGTCTAGTCGAAAATTTTCAAGAAAAATTTCCTTTTATTGGTTGTATACATATGACCCCTATATATTTCTCTATTCAATGTTACAAAGATAATTTCTTCCTACATTAGTCTATTTCTCCTCTATACTGATGCTATTTCACAACTCCACATCATCTAGAGATTAGTGCCAAGGTCACTAATAAAAATACTGAAGAAGCTTGATTACATAGTAAGCCTTAACAAATAAAATTCTGTTGCAAAACACAGTAAAATATGACATTCAGTTTGTATTAGTAATATATTCCACACACAGCTGTGGTGCATAGCTCAAAGACAAGGATATCGCCTATCAGTAGCTTTTAGTTTGGAAGTACTGATTGGGTTTGCATGGCAAGTTTTGGGTAGCAGAGGAGCTACAGGGGTGGATTCTGTGAGAAGCTGCCAGAAGAAGGGGAAGCCCTGTGTCTGACAGAGCCAATGTCAGACAGATCCCAGACCTGCCACTGGCAGAGGCTAAGCCCATCAGTAATGGTGATGACAAATTTAAGAAAGGGAAAAAAATCTGCTCAATTGCAGCTGAAGAGAGGAGTGAGAAAATATGAGAGAAACAACTCTGCAGACACCCAAGTCAGTGCAGAAGGAGGGAGAGAAGATACTCCAGGTGCCAGAGCAGAGATTCTCCTACACAGCCTGTGGTGAAGAGCATGGTTATCCTCCTGCAGCCCATGAAGGTCCACAATGGAGCAGAGATCCACCTGTAGCCCATGGAGGACCCCATGCCTTCCTGGAAGGACTGCACCCCACAGAAGGGACCCACACTGGAGCAGTTCATGAAGAATTGCAGCTCCTGGGAAAGATTCATGTTGGAGGAGTTCATGGAGGGTTGTCTGCTCCAGGAAGGACCTCACATAAGAGTGTGAGGAGAAGAACATGAGGAGTCCTCACTCTGAGGAGGAAAGAGTGGCAGAGACAACATGTGATGAACTGTGACTGCTATTTGCCATCCCACTGAGCCACTGTGGGTGAGGAGATACAGAATTCTGGAGTAAACCTAAGCACAGGAAGAAGGAAGTGGTACAGAGAAGATGTTTAAGATTTAGGTTTTTATTTTCTCATTACCCTACACTGCTTTGACCAGTAATAAATCAAACTAATTTTACCCTAGTCCAGTCTGCTTTGCCCATGATGGCAAATGGTGAGTGATCTCTCCCTCATCTCGACCCACAAGCCTTTTGTTATATTTTTGCTTCCATGTGCAGCTGAGGTGGCTTTGGTGGGCACCTGGCATCCAGCCAGGGTCAATCCACCACAGGCATGGAAACAAGAAATATAATATGAAAATAAATAGAAGCTAAATGAAAATGCAAGCCAAGAAAGGAAGGGATTATCCAAGTAAAAATTCCTTTATGAGGGCAAGTCAGGAAACCACTCAATTATCCTGAGCCAACAGAGAGCTGCTGTGCTAGTCCAGATGGGACACCACAGGAAATATTGAGTCCACATTTTTTACATTCTCACTCTAGACTGAGAAAGGATCTGATTTTCTGGAGGCATTTCAGTAAGACTTTTGGGAAACATTCAAAATGGTGTAGCTCAGGAATGCAAAATTGGAGCCTGGAAACTACCATAATGTCCAGTATATTATACCATGCAGTGCCAGGCTTAGTACATCTGATAAAAGTAAGTAAATACAACAAATTCTGCTTATGTAAGTGTCTCACCCTTCCTCTGAAATAGCCTATGAGTTGACTTGGTCCAACAACACAAACCAGAAATTGTGATCACAAACCACCACCAAAACAGA